CTTCCCCTCTCCTGTCTTCCCAACTATTTGGAAGGACTCTTCTTCTCAATCCACCAGGCTCACAAACTTGGTGTCTTAAATGATGCCGCATCATCATTCACCCACCCACAGAATCTGCTAGCAAGTCTTCTTGTTTCTCCGTTCGAAATCTGTCTTCTATGTCCCCTTCTCTCCACTCATGGCACAACCTCAGTACTGCCCCGCAGCCCCTCACCATCTCTTAGCTGGACCCCTACAATGGTCTTCTAGTGGTTCCCCTGCCTTGAATATCCCCCCATTCCAACCCAGCCTTCACTCTGCTGCAAAGTCAGTTGCCCAAAGTGCAGGTCTGACCATATCATACAATGTGCCCTGCCCCCCAACACCCACACAGGTAGTTGTGTAGCTCCTCTTGGCTAAAATATATCTTCTGTTTGTCATTTAAATGACTTTAGCCTCTGGCCTCAACATATCTTTCCAGCCTCCATTGTGCATAATTCTTAATTCCATTTCCAATACTAATTCTGCTTCTAACCCTGTCACATTCTGTGATGTCGCCCAGCCAGTCTTTGTTCTGTTGCTCATTCCAGGCACTCAATTCACCACTTCCAGGCCTTTCCACTCGCTGTCCATTGGACTTGGAATGCCCTCTTTCCTCACTTTCACTTCATAGGAGGTTATCTCTTTTGTTCTGCCTATAGCTCAAGCTTTTCTGATCTCTCCCCCGCCATCTGCTAGTGCACTGACTCCCCTTAATACCTCCTATGGGACTACTTGGAATATATTTTGATATGTGCCTATTTTTTTGGTAGCATACGAGGTCCTTAAGAGTAGCGATTGCTTCGCTTTTTTCTGCTTCTATCTCCAGTCCAGTGTCTGGCAGCATTTCATTTTGTCATTCGGATTAGCACTGTGTCTAGCACATAGTAGGTGCTTAATAAGTGACTGTTGATTGACTGATAGGTAGGACCTCCCATTCTTGGAGGACCTTCAGATGATGTTTCTTGGAGTCAGGTCAATGAGGCATCCGGCAGTTTAGTGGAATTGTAGTCTGAGACTCCAGGTCTTACTTCTGCTGCTCATTAGGTGTGTGACCTTGGTCAAGTCATTTCAGGTCTCTGGTCATCCATTTCCTCATCTGTAAAACTAGATGATGATTTTGCACCACCTACCTCATGGGTAGTGGGAGGGTCAAACAAGATGCTGAATTTGAAGCATCTTGTAAATGGCGGAATCCCGTAGAAATGTGAGCTCTAACTTTTATAATTCAGGGACAAAATTTCTCTAAAAGTCAGTTTACTTCAACTGAGTACATCATAATAGCACTTAAGGTGGACTCACTGACCTTAGATAAGTCACTTCTATGGGACTCAGTTTCTTCATCTGTAAATTTTAAATATTGGATGAATTAAATTATTAAACCAAGACTACTTATTACTAAAGGAGACCATGAAGGGAGAAATCAGAGGCAAGAAGGCCAATTAGGAGTCTATTATAGCCCTCAAGGAAATTGGCGATGAAGGCCTCAACTTGGGTTGGGGGGACATATCCAAGGTTATGGGTTCTAATCCTGTCTCTGCCACTTTCTATCTGAGTGACCTAGAAAAAGTCACTATAACTCTCAAGGATTCCTCTACCTCATCTGGATTTAGCAGGGGCATTCTAGGCCCTTCCCAGGCCTCTGCCAGCCTGTCACAGCTTTGTCTGCCTGACACACCTCCTGAGGTGTATAGCATCTGGAGAAGAGCAGATGAGGGGCGAAGGAGGGGAACAGGGAAGAAATCAGAAGCAGGACTAACTGTGTGGAAATGTTTGAAGGTGAGAAAAGGGACTGAGAGAGAGCAAAAGGCCTCTGTACCATGTCTGTCCCTCTGCTTGGCTGGCACCAGATACTTGCAGTCATCCAGCACCCTGTAGGTGACACTACTGTAGTGCCACTCCTCCTGGAGCACTTGGGTAGTGCTCCGTTTTAGAGGTGAGGTCACAGGAACAGCAGGACCAGGAGCGGACCCTTTCATGGGGTTCTAGGCCCTGGTAGAGTGATCTTGTGTTCCTGTTAGCCTGTGCAGTGGTGACCATCAGAATCTCCAGAGCTTGCCTGTATCATTCCTATACATGCATATGCATATACATATATACATGCACACATATACATACATACATATATAGAGGGAGGGAGAAAGGGAGAGGGAGGGAGGGAGGGTAAAAGAGACAGAGACAAAGAGATACAGAGAGAGACACAGAGGAAAAGGAAGAGGGGGAGAGGGAGAGAGAGAAAGTGCAGGGTGGAGAGAGAGAGAGATCCTGTCTCCATCTGTGGAGTTTATGGCTCAGTAAAGGGAATATGACATGGACACAAATAGGCAGAATTTGAAATGGGACTTGGCAAAATCTATGAGCAAAATGGATGTGAGACTTGAGGAAGAAATGGAATAAGAGACTTTGGCTGGATGATTTCCAAGGTAGCTTTCAATTCATTTTTTTTTTATAAATAGTATTTTATTTTTTCCAATTACATGTAAAGATAGTTTTCAACATACATTTTTATAAGATTTTGAGTTCCAGATTTTTCTCCCTCCCTCTCTTCCCTTCCCCCTCTCCAAGATGGTGAGCAATACAATATAGGTTATACATGTGCAATCATGGAAACATATTCCCCATTAGTCATGTTGTGAAATAAGAAACATAACCAAAGGGAAAAGGGCTGCTTCCAATTCTAGCAGTCTCTTTCACTGAAATCTCTGAGGCATTTTGAAGAAAGCTGCAGGTGCTCCTTGGTCACCCTGTCAGTGGGGACAGGTGGTGTTTATTGTTTGGGCTGTAATGCAGTCTTTCTGCAGAGAGTATTGCCTTCCTTTAACCTCTGAATGAACCACCTAACTCCAAGGAAATGTCTGTCAGCTTTAGGCTCTGTCTCATCCTTAGTGTGGTTATGGATTAGTTACCATAGTATCAGGATGCTCAAAAATGCAGGTCTGGACCATTAAGAATCTTTATTTTATTTCTCAAGATCCTAGTTCTTCTAGAGCTTCACACAGACACAAAAAGCCACCTTTCCTATAGAGAATACCATACAACTGGGAAACAGAAAACTCCTTGCTTGTCATTGAAATCTTGAAGTGATGCCAGTTGTTCTCAACCAGAGGAAATGGGAGTAAGCGCACCGAGCATCTGAACTCACCTGGTCTTCCTTCCTGGGCCTTCTTTGGATTTGGAAGTTGAGAACGGGAGAAATCAGAAGGCAGAGAGAAGGAGATCTCTTTCCCTAAGATTCCCCTGGCACCCACCAAGCCAGAGGAAAAGCTTTCATTCAAACTGGTTGTTCTTGAAAAACATCTGGGTGATTTTTTCATCACTCTCCATCACAATGCCATGCTGGCATATATATAGGATTGGCACAGATTGATGGCATAACTCAATGACTTAGGGGAGCAACTAGAGGGATCCCCTCATTTTAGTTCATCATTCATTAGTCAGTCAGTCAACAAGCATTTCTTTTTTGTTTGTTTGTTTTTTGTTTTTTGGTGAGCCAATTGGGGTTAAGTGACCTGCCCAGCATCACCCAGCTAGTTAGTGTCAAGTGTCTGAGATCGGATTTGAACTTCAGTCTTCCCGACTCCAAGGCCGGAGCTCTATCTACTGCGCCACCTAGCTGCCCCCCAAACAAGCATTTCTTAAGCACTTCCTGGGCACCAGGCACTGTCCTAAATACTAAGGATGCACATATAAGTGAAAAGAAAGATGGGGAATGCCATTAAAGAGCTTCCATTCTAATGGGGAAGATACACATGCAGAGGTTTGGTAGGGATGGTGAAGAGCAGAGGAAGGCCGTTGCCCCGTGTGAGGAAGGCGCAGGGGCAGAGAGTACAGGTTCTAACAAGCAGGGAGGATCTACTTACCGGGCCCACAGTGGCTTTTCTGAGGGCATTCCTGCTTCCCTGCCCATCTCCAGCAGCAGCTCCCTCCCGACTTGAGTCCTGGGTGCCCTCCAGGCTCTCAGGGGCCTTCCTTCTCATTTCTTTCTGCTCTTTCACCCTGATCTCCTGACCATCCCCCCCCCCCAGGATTGTCAAGCCAGTCACCTGTCTAGCCTGCCTTCCCTGCTGCCATTTCCACCTTCCCAGCCTCGACTTGTATCCTTCTCTCACGAGCCCCCTGGGCTTGTCTAGTTGGCCTCTCACTCCTGTGTTGGCTGCGTTCCTGGCCTCTCATCTCTGACCTCCCATGGAAAGGCTTATAGCTGGAGTCAGGAAACCTGAGTTCAAATCCCACCTAATACTTATTCCCTGTGCTTCCTTTGGTGAGTCACCTAAACTCCCTGGGTTACGGTTTCTTCCTCGGCAAAAACAAAGGGTTTGGACTAGACACCCTCTGAAGTCTTTGCCTATCCACTCTAGGATCTACCAACCCAGGGGTGTGTGTGTGTGTGTGTGTGTGTGTGCGTGTGTGTGTTGTGTGTGTAATAGGTCCCTCCACTGTCCCCCTGAAAACCTCTGCTTTTCCTCTTCCACCATCAGGGACGCCTGATTTATTAACCCTGTCTGGCCTTGAGTTCTGCCTTGGCTTGCAAACATAGATGAGAAAGAGATGGTATTGGCAACATAGCAGTGATCACACCAAAGAAGATGAAGCTGTAGTATGAGAAAACATAGCATAAAGTCATGGAAATGGAGCAACAGGGCAGCTGGGGGTGCAGCATCACAGAGCTAGACCCAGAAGGCACCTCAGAGACCATTCAATCCAACCTCCCCTACCCAATTTTACAGATGAGGGAACTGAGGCACAGAGAGATTGTGTCTAGCTCAATCACCCAGGTAATGAGTAGAATAGCTGGGATTTAAATCCAGGTCCTCTGGCCCCAAATCCAGCATTCCTCCATGGCATACATCGCATCCTTAGGACGTGACATGGTGCTTTGCACAGAGTAGATGTGTTTGTTGACTTGAATGTAAGGCTTTTAAACAGGGAAACGTGGGATAGGTAAGGATAGAATACTAGACGTTAAACTAAACAAACACTGGTGAAAGCATTTCAAAGCTAGTATTTTATCAAGGAAAGTCTCAGCCTGATACATTTGAGCAAATGCTGCTTCACAGAGACCAGAGACATTTCATCTCCCAGGCTGGTTTGTTCTGTGACTCATGGAGGAAAGAATACCCTCTGAATGGCTAGCATGACCTGGAAGACACAATACAAAGTATGTCCCCATTTTTGGAGTCCTCATTCAACCCAATACCCTGCACCCCACCCCAACCCACATAAACATCCAGGTGTGTGCACATTCTTGTGTGTGTGTGTATGTGTGCATACACACACACATACACACACACACACACACACACATACACACACAGAAATAGATGAGCTCCAAACTTTGTGAAAGGAATTCCCAGGAGTCAGTGATTCTCACTAAAGATGAGGGAGAATGGAACCCCTCCAAGTCTAAGAGTACTACAACTGCCTTTGTATCCCTTGCTTGTCTAAGTTCTTGAGCCATAATCTACCACCATTCCAGTTTCTCCAGAACCCAGAGGGCCGGTGAACAGTCGTGGCGTCAGGTCTGCTCTTGTTGCTCTTCTCATTCAGTTATTTCCAGCTCTTCCTGACACCATGGGTCATACTGTGGACCATGCTGTACGTAGATTTTCTTAGCAACCATACTGAAGTGGTTTGCCATTTGCTTCGCCAGTGGATTAAAGCAAAAAGAGGTTAAGTGACTTTTCCAGGGTCATCAGCTAGTAAGTGTCTGTGGATGGATTTGAACTCAGGTATTCCTGACCCCTGATGCAGTGCTCTATCCACTGAGCCAGCTAACTGCCTCCTCTTTTTACCTTTGCTTTAAGTGGCCTTGCTCAAAAAAGCAGCTCAAAATAAACATGGGAGGAGCAAATTTCGAGCCATCTTCACTCCAAATGTTCATATGGCCTACTTGTGCCTGACCTGTGGTACAGCCTTCCCAGATCCAGTTGGTCTGAGCAGCCACAGCCGTATACACTGTCCCTTGACCCTCACACAGTGATGTCATTTTGGTCCCCTTTGAGAATAAAGGACAACCATCCAACCAGGTAACCCCGCTGCTGAGGCATGTGCTGGAGGTGCCTAGGGATAGCCTCACTCTAGTGGCTCCGTGGCTGTTCCTGGGATTTACAGTCCAGTGGGTTCTGTATCTCCATGTATGGGGACACGCATGCCCATCTGTCTCTCTGATGGACCCCTACACTAAAGACACTGTTCTTTTCCTTAGGTTCCTGTGAAGGAAACTATTAGTTTCCTAATCTGAGATTCCTCTCCCCCTTATCTTCACTGCTGATAGAGCTTTCACTTATATCCCTTCTGTCTGTCTTTTTTAAAGACTGGACCTTGCTCTTACTTCAGTAGTACATGTACTAAACTTGGAATGAAGCAGAGATGAGCATGTCTTCTGCACAAGGATGAATCCATGAAGTGCAGAAGAGCTGAGAGGGGAGAGGAGAGAAAGGAGCCAAGGAAGAGGGGACAGGGGGCAGGGAAGGGAAGAGGGAGGAGAGAGGGGGGAAGGGAAAAGGGGGAAGGAGAAGAGGGGGCAGGGAAGGGGGAGAGGGGGCAGGGAAGAGGGGACAGGGGGCAGGGAAGGGAAGAGGGAGGAGAGAGGGGGGAAGGGAAAAGGGGAAGGAGAAGAGGGGGCAGGAAGGAGGGAGGGAGGAGAGAGAGGAGACACTATAGGATGCCATACAGAGGCAGAGCATAATGCAATAAACTCCTGAAGACCTGGGTTCAAATAGAGAAGTTGGCCTAGGTGACCTGGGAGTCTTCTCCTACAGTTAGATCTGTGATCCTGTAATCTAGGTGACTTTGTTTCTGCTGGGTCAGGACCCGCAGCTTCTCAGCTGTGTCACAGGAGCCAAGAACTTGCAGACACAGTAAGTGGGGCAGTGCAGAGAGTGCTGGGCTTGGAGGCAGGAAGCTGTTCAGTCCTTTTTCAGTCGTGTCTAACTCTTCCTGACCTTTTGGGATTTTCTTGGCAAAGAATGGAGTGGTCTGCCATTTTCTTCTTCAGCTCATTTTACAGATGAGGAAACTGAGGCAAACAGGGTGAAGGGACTTGCCCAGGATCACACAGCTGGGAGGTATCTGAGGCCAGATTTGAACTCAGGAAGAGAAGTCTTCTTGACTCCAGGTCTAGTGCTTTATCAGCTAGGCCACTAAGACTAGAGTTCAGATCTGGCCTCTAATACTTACTAGCTGCGTAACCCTGGACAAGTCATTTAACCTCTGAGTGCCTCAGTTTCCTCATCTGCAAAATGGGGCTAATTATAGCACCCAACTTCTAGGGCTATTGTGAGGATCAATTAAAATAATACCTGTAAAGTGCTTTACAAACCTTAAGTGACTTCTACATTCTGGCTAACTAGCAGTAGTAATAGTAGTAGCAGTAGTCAGTTTACAGAGATTTGAACCCATGTCCTTCCTGTGTCCAAATCCAGGGACCATCTCCCAATGCTCTCTCCTCCCCTCCCCCTCAGTGAACCTCCAAACTCATCTTATTTTCCATCTGGAAGCTACTTTGGGATCCCACACACACACGCCCACCCCCACTGCTGCAGGTTTCAGGAAACTGATTCAGACGCTGGTGGTGCTCTGCATAATTCCCAGACAAGAGTTCAGCCCCCCCCCCCCCAATAAGAGCTCCGTCTCTTGGCTCTAGCCCAGGTACCTGGCTTCTGGCTGCCTGCTAGTCTCCATCCACATTCCTGAGATCAAAGGATTCCCTGGGCACTGACGTGCACTGTGTCCATGCTGGGGCTCCAAGCACATGCTTCATTTCAGGGCATGGGAGGCTGAGAGATATGAGCCATCCCCCAGCGGCCCTGAGCAGTTACAAATGCTGCACATGGTTCCCATCTCTTCAGGACAAATCCTCCCCATTCCCTGATCTGGCAGCTCTCAACCCCAGGGATGTGCCAACTGGAGAAATCAGGGAAGGGCCCATGGAGGAGGTGGCATGGGAACTGAGACTTAGAGGGAACTGAGGTCCCGAGACAGTGAGAGGGAGGCAGAATGTTCTAGGTAAAGGAGGCAGCCATGTAAAGACATAGAACTTTGCACAAATGTAGCACCAAATAGCCAGGCTGGCTCCCCTCCCTGCATGAGGGGAGTTACAGGTAATCTTCCTGGCAAGGCAGGCTGGAGACAGATGGTGCCAAGCTCTGTGTGGCAGAGTAAGGAGTTTGTATTTATCCTCAAGGCAGGAGGAGCCCTTGAAGCTTCCAGAACAGGGAAGTGACACAGTCAGATGGGTTCTTCAAGTGTTCACATGCAAATACCTCTTACAATAATAAACATTTTAAAGAAAGAATTAGACACTTATGAGGACTTTTTTACATTAGGACCAGGTAAAAAAAGCATGAAAGCCTCAGTAAGCATAGCTATTACAAAGTGTAAACATTATTTTGTTTTTATTTTTTTTGTTTTTAACTTTCACTTGATATTAAACAGTCTAAGCAAATCCCAGTTGTACAAATAAACAATAATGCTTAAACATAATTCAATTCAGTAAACAGTTAAGTACTTACTATCTTCAAGGAAGTACTCCTTTCACTTCTTTCTTATGACGGAGGCTGTTGTCAGCTGTTCCCATTATTATTTAGTTTTATGAAATCTCCTCTGTCATTTTATGAGAACATAAAACATAGAAAACAATGTTCCCTTGTGATAGTTATCTTTCCAAATAATTAAAGAAAAAAAAAGACAGAATGTTGAACACACGTAGATTTGTCCAGGTTTCTACAACTTCATGCAAACTGAACGAGGTCCCAAAAATGTGGTCTGTCCAGTTCCCTATGAATGGACAGACTGCTCTGCAAGTAGCTTCCTGTTCCCCCACCTGCCCACCATGGGGCTGCAGTGAGCAGAGCTGGTGTCTGCCAAGATCTCTGTTGGTCTGGCCTGAGTCTGATTGTGGGGCTCTACCTTTGCTGAGGCAGTATCTCCCAGGCACATGTTTCAAAATGATTTTTCTCCATTTCCTAGGACAATAGTAGGTACTCAGACTTAAGAGATTCTTTGTGACATGTTCCCTCCCAAATCACCTTTCAAAGGAGCACCCTGGATTTGGAGTCAGGGAATGGGGATTGGAATCCCGGCTCTTGCCACGCAACTTCCTAGATGACCCTGGGTCAGTCAATTCATCCTTCTAGGCCTCACCATCCTCGGCTGTAAAGTTAGGGCAAGATGATGTCTGAAGGTGTTTCTCACTCCACTGGATGATCCTGGGACTTCTCTGGTTTGTAACATTCTCAGCCAACTCAGATGCCCAGTTCCCCTCCCACATTATTCTTGCCTAGCTGTGGCCCATCTCCTTATACTTACTCTGCAGAGCCTGGGAGAACATTAGCTTCAGACTCTACAACTTGCTGGTACCCACCGCAATGGTTAAAAAAAGTGAGGAGCTCTTAGTGTACCCTACAAAGTTTAGGAAAGTCCTTGAAGTAGGCATGGCTTACTGGGCAGCACAGGAAAGTGAAGAGGATACTGGGAGAGGAGACAAGAAACCTCATTTCAGAGCACCCTTAGATACTAACTAACTACTAATTGTAAGAGAAGGTGACCATCACCTATGGCCCCATCATTCAGGTCCCACGACATAAAGTTCATTGTACTTGGCAAATTTTTTTTGGATTTGTTCTTTCTTTCTTATTTATTTATTTTAGTTTTCAACATTCATTTCCACAAGATTTTGAGTTAAAAATTTTCTCCCACTGTTGCCCCTCCCCCACCCTAAGGTGGCGTGTAATCTGAATATCCCTTCTTCTAATCTGACCTCCCTTTTATCACCCCCTCCTTCTCTTATCCCCTTCCTCTTCTATTTTCCTGTAGGGCAGGATAGATTTCTATACCCAATTGCCTGTATATCTTATTTTCCATTTACATGTAAAAACGACTTTCAACATTTGTTTTTAAAGCTTTGGGTTCCAAATTCTCTCCCTTCCTCCTTCCCTACCCACCCTCATTGAGATGGCAAGCAACTCAATACAGATTATGCATGTGCAGTCATGCAAAACACTTCCAGAGCTGGGCAGAGCCAAGGTGGCAGAGTGAAAGCAGTGACTTGCTTGAGCTCTCCCCCAAACACCTCCAAATACTCATAAAAAATGGCTCTAAACAAATTCTGAAGCAGCAGAACCCACAAAAAGACAGAGTGAAACAAATTTCCAGCCCAAGACAATCTGGATGATTGATCAGAAAGGTGTATCGCGCCGGCCTGGGAGCACAGCACAGTGCGGCGTGGGGGCGCAGGCTGCAGCAAACCTGGAGCAGGCCTCAGAGGACTGAATTTCAGGCAGCTGTGGAGGTTTCCAGACTCCTCAATCCACAAATGCCAAAGACAACTTAGAAGGTCAGTGGGAGAAGTCTGTTTCTGTCAGTGCTCAGAGAGGAAGGCGAGGTTTCAGCTCCATTCCCCAAGAGCGTGGCCGTGGGGCAGCTGCTTCCTGAGCTTCCAGCCCACAGACTGAGGGGCAATCCAGTGGCTGATCAGAGAGAGATTACAGGGATCTATTTTCCAGTACTGTGGCAGGAATCTCTTGCTTTGCCCGTGTTTGGATGCAGGTCACAGTTCTGGGCTGCGGTGCTGGGGTGAGGAGGAGTGCTGGCATGGAGGAGCTTGTAGTAGCTGTGGAGAGGAACCCCTCCTCACAGTTAAAGGACAGAAAGGAGTACTTGTGGTCACAGGCCAGGAAAGAAGTAAACACCTTACCCCTTATCATACCACCTTGGAAGAACTGAAAATTTACAGGTCCCTACAAGTATCTCTGAAAACAGCTGTACAAACCCCTGAAGCTTGGAACAATACATTCTCTGCATTGGAAGCAGACTCTTACCTTAACAAAGAGTTTAAAACTCAAGTAATTGGCCAGAACCAGTGCAAAAAGAGTCAGACTATATTATCTTACTTTGGTGAAAAAGATCAAAATATACAACCAGAAGAAGACAACAAAGTCAAAGCTCCTGCATCCACAGCCTCCAAGAAAAATATGAATCAGTCCCAGGCCTTGGAAGAGCTCAAAAGGGATTTTGAGAAGCAAGAGAAGCAAGTAAGGGAAGTAGAGGAAAAACTGGGAAGAGAAATGAGAGTGATGCAAGAAAATCATGAAAAACAAGTCAACAGCTTGCTAAAGGAGACCCCAAAAAATACTGAAAAAAAATAACACCTTAAAAATAGCCTAACCCAAATGGCAAAAGAGGTCCAAAAAGCCAATGAGGAGAAAAATGCCCTAAAAAGAAAAATTGGCCAAATGGAAAAGGAAGTCCAAAAGCTTACTGAAGAAAATACTTCCTTAAAAATTACGATAGAGCAATTGGAAGATAGTGACTTCATGAGAAATCAAGACACTGTAAAACAAATCCAAAAGAATGAAAAATTAGAAAACAATGTGAAATATCTCATTGGAAAAACAACTGACCTGGAAAATAGATCCAGGAGAGAGAATTTAAAAATTATTGGACTATCTGAAAGCCATGATCAAAAAAAGAGCCTAGACATCATCTTTCAAGAAATTATCAAGGAAAACTGCCCTGATATATTAGAACCAGAGGGCAAAATAGAAATTGAAAGAATCCACAGATCTCCTCCTGAAAGAGATCCCCAAAGGAAAACTCCTAGGAATATATAGCCAAATTCCAGAGTTCCCAGGTCAAGGAGAAAATATTACAAGCTGCCAGAAGGAAACAATTCAAGTACTGTGGAAACACAATCAGGATAACACAAGATTTAGCAGCTTCTACATTAAAGGACTGCAGGGCATGGAATATAATATTCCACAGGGCAAAGGAGATAGGATTACAACCAAGAATCACCTACCCAGCAAAACTGAGTATAATCCTTCAGGGAAAAAATGGTCATTCAGTGAAATAGAGGACTTTCAAGCATTCTTGATGAAAAGACCAGAGCTGAATAGAAAATTTGACTTTCAAATACAGACTCAAGTGGAACATGAAGAGGTAAACAGGAAAGAGAAATCATAAGAGACTTATTAAGATTGAACTGTTTACATTCCTGCATGGAAAGATGATATTTATAACTCATGAGACCTTTGTCAGTATTAGGGTAGTTGAAGGAAAAAAATATATGTATATGATAGATAGTAGATATAGATAGATAGATAGATAGATAAAAGGCACAGGGTAAGCTGAAGATTAAGGGGTCATATCTGGAGAATAAAATTAAGGGATGAGAGAGGATGATACTCAGAGAAGAAGAAAGGGAGAGGTAGAATGGGGTAAATTATCCAAAAAAAAAAACAGAAAGAAAGTCTCTTACAATGGAGGGGAAACGGGGGAAGGTGAGAGGAAATGAGTGAATCTTGTTCTCATAGGATTTGGCTTAAGGAGAGAACAACATACACATTCAATTGGGTATGGAAATCTGTCTTACCCTACAGGAAAATAGGGGGAGAAGGGGACAGGAGAGCAGGGGGATGATAGAGAGAAGGGCAGATTGGGAAAGGGGTAATCAGAAGAATACTTCTGAGGAGGGACAGGGTCAAAAGAAAGAATAGAATAAATGGGAGGGCAGGATAGGATTAAGGGAAATAGAGTTAGTTTTTCACAACATGTCCACTATGGAAGTGTTTTGCATAACTGCACATATACAACCTATATTGAGTTGCTTGCCTTTTCAATGAGGGTGGGTGGGGAGGAAGGAAGGGAGAAAATTTGGAACCTAAAGTTTTAAAAACATATGTTTAAAAAAATGTTTTCGCATGATACTGGGAAATAAGAAATACAGGAGATGGTATATAGAAGTCTATCCTGCCCTACAGGAAAATAGAAGGGGAAGGGAATAAGAGAAGGAGGGAGAGATAGAAGAGAGGACAGACTAGGGGAAGGGATATTCAGAATGCATGCCACCTTGGGATGGGAAGGTGTGATGGGGTGAAAATTTGGAACTCAAAAACTTGTGGAAGTGAATGTTGAAAACTAAAAATAAATAAATTTATATTTAAAAACAAACAAACAAACAAAAACACTTCCAGAGTAGTCATGCTGTGAAAAACTAATTATATTTCCCTTCATCCTATCCCACTCCCTGTTAATTCTTTTTTTAAACTAAACGATTTTTATTTTTAGTTTTCAACATTCACATCCACAAGATTTTGAGTTCCAAATTTTCTCCCCATCTCGTCTCTCCCCCCACCCCAAGATGGCATGCATTCTGAATACCTCTTCCCCTGATCTCTTCTCCTTTCTATCTCCCCCCTTCTCTTATCCCCTTCCCCTTCTATTCTCCTATAGGGCAGGATAGATTTCTATACCCAATTGCCTGTATATCTTATTTCCCAGTTACATGTGAAAACAAGTGTTAACATTCATTTTTAAAACTTTAGTTCCAAATTTTCTCCCTTCCTCCCTCCTCACCCACCCTCATTGAGAAGGCAAGTCACTCAGTACAGGTTATACATATGTAGTGATGCAAAACACGTACAAAGCAGTCATGCTGTGAAAAACTAACTTTCATTTTATGCCACTCCCCATTTATTCTATTCTCTTTTCACCCTGTCCCTCCTTAGAAGTGTTTACTTTGGATTACCCCCTCCCTCCATCTGCCCTCCCCTCTATCATTCCCCTACTCTCTTATCCCTCCCCCCCTATTTTCCAGTAGGGAA